GCCAGCACCTCCCTTCATGCTGCACAGATTCTGTAGGCAAATACCACAATGCTCTCTTGTAATTTTTTGTGAAGCATTGCATCTACTATTAACAGAAATGTACTGAGTCCGTTTTTGGGGAGGAAAACAGGATATTGTATTAACAGGATTAAAGTTGTTGTCAAGGAGAATCTAGAAAAAGTTTGCCTCCTAGATTAAATAAACACAGCTATGGAATTATCAGAACTAGCAGTAAAATATGTCTCTAAGTAAAGGAGTACATTCTTGTAGCACTTCAAATAAAGTGTTATTCCGAGATTTCCAAGGGCACTATGCTTGGGCTCATGTCCTTTGTCTATGACAGATTAACATACAATAATTACGTTCAGTGTGTTTCACATAAGCAATTTAAACAAGGAGCAAACAGTTGTTACGAGTACACATACATAGGCTTGTGGGAGGTATGTAACAGCAAGTGTAGACTCTCTCTTGATTAGTTTTTTATTCGTTTGCTTATTGCAGCAAGCTGGGGAGAGCCAGAACACAGAACCTACATTGATTCTAGAACCAACACAAGCTCCAGTGTGACACCCTACAGAACCTCTACAGTGTCTGGAACTGACACAGCCTCCAGAGTGACACCCCAGACAACATATACTGTGTCTGGCAGTGACATACCCTCTAGTGTGACACCCTACAGGACCTATACTTCATCTGGAAGTGATGTACCTTCCAGTGGGACCCCCTTCAGGACCTCTACTGTGTCTGGCAGTGATGTGCCCTCCACTGTGAAACTCCAGAGAACCCATACTGTGTCTGGGAGCGACGTGTTCTCCGGTGTGTATGCTTCCTGAGAGGGGAATCTATTTGTGTCTGGAAACTACATAGCCTTTCCTTCCAACCACAAGCATTTCAGTTCCCTGCATTTCCTTGGTTTTTAAAATTTAAGTTCTTTGAAGTAAGTTTACTTTCTCTGAACAGACTCATTTCAGCGTCACACTGAACCCCAAGAATCTGCTATACCTTGTACTCCTGCTCCTGATGGTAAATCTGCTTGTCAAGTAATTATTGTCATTTGGATGTGGATTCACAGCAGCATTTCCCATCATGTTGCACATCTTCTGCAGAGAAATACAGCAATACTTAATTGTAAACACAGTAGAGCAATAGAACTACTGCTACCATTTTGAAATAGCAATTTCTTGCAACCATAACCCTTTCTGTTCTGTGCCTTTGTGTTGTGACATTTTTTAAAGAAGAGAAAGGGAATGGTGGAAGCTAACTCAGGAATTAAAATTATTATTGGAATATTTTTTTCTGTTGTTTCCCACACCCTTGTGGGTTTGTTTTGGTTTTAGTTTGGGTTTGGATTCTTGGTTGCTTGGACTCTTTTGGTTTTGGGGAGTGGTTGAGGTGCATGGGTGTTTTATTTTTATTTTTATTTTTATTTTTATTTTTATTTTTATTTTTATTTTTATTTTTATTTTCTGTTATTACTTCTTCTAAATACTTTTTTTTAATAAACAAATTATTTTTCCTTTCTTTCTGTTATAAACCATTAACATTTTGTAATAGACTTCCTTTTCAAGCATAAGCATTTCAGTTATTTGCTTGGTTTTAAAATTTACCTCCTCTGAACAGATATTTTTCAGCCTCTCATTTCATCCCAAGCAGACAGTGCACCTTCTGCTCCTATTCCTGCTCCTGATGGTAAGTCTGCTTTTCAAGATATCATAGTGTCTTTGATGATGTGGGTGCCTAGGCAGCATATTACTTCAAGTTGCACAGCTTCTGTAAGCAAATACAATATTTGTTTTTAAACATACTGTAGCAATAAAATTAATGCTAACAGATATGTTATGAGATTTTTTGAAAGGAGAGAAAGGGGATGGCGAATGATAACACAGGGATTAAAATTACTACAGTAATTTTTTCTTTGTGTTCCCATCTACTTGGAAAAAATTTGTTTTCTGTTTGGATTTGGTTGGTAAGTTGGTTTGTTTTTTGGTTTTAGAGAGTGTTTCTGCTGGATAATTGGTTTTGACTTTTTCTTTTTCTAAATTATTTTCTCTAGCTATTTTTTTTTTTTTACTAAAGTCTTTTAGTTTCCTTCTGTGATAAATTATTGTAATAGCTTTTCCATGCCAACAACTATTTCAGTTCCATGAATTTCCTTATTTTTAAAATTCACCTTCTCTGAAGTAAATTTACTTTCTCTAAACAGAATCATTTCGGCTTCTCTTCATACCCCAAGGTCCCAGTACACCTCGTACTCCTGGTCCTGATGGTAAGTCTCCTTGTTAAGCAATTATTGTCCACAGTATTGGATGTGCATTCAGAGCCAGCCTCTCCCTTCATGCTGCACGGTTTCTGCAGACAATATAACAATACTTTACTTCATTGTAAACATAATGGAGCAATAACACTACTGCTAACATTTTGAATTAGCCATGTCTTGCAAACATAACCCTTCCAGTTCTGTGCATTTCCTTGCTTTTTAAAATTTACCTCCTCTGAAGTGATTTTACTTTCACTGAACAGACTCCTTCTGGCTTCCTGTTTCATCCCAAGCAGCTCGTGCACCTCCTGCACCTGCTCATGCTCGTGATGGTAAGTCTGCTTGTCAAGCAATTGGGATGTGGGCTCCTAGGCAGCATCTCCCTCATGCTGCACAGCTTCTGTAGGCAAATACAATAATCCTTAATTGCAAACACTAGGAAGCAGTAAAACTGCTGCTAACAGCAAAGTTGTGAGATTTTCTCAGAAGAGAAAGAGGATGCTGAAAGCTAACACAGGAATAAAATTACTGCTTATAGGGTTTTTTTCCTATTGGTCTCCATTTGCTTGGACATATTTGGTTTTCATTTGGGTTTGGTTGCTGGGTTGTTTGGATTCTTTTCGTTTTGGAGACTAATGCTGGTGGATGGGTGCATGTTTTTTGGTTTTGTTTTGTTTTGTTTTGTTTTTTTTGGTTTTTTTACTATTTAAAATTTATTTATTTATTTTTCTTTGGTTTTTTGGGTTATTTTTTTTTAACCAAAGACTTTTTCCTTCCATTATGTTATCAACTAATACATGTAATGGCCTTTCCTTGCAACCACACCATTTCAGTGCTGTGCAATTCCTTGATTTATAAAACAAAAGCATTTTTTAGATTGAAAATTACTTTCTCTACATAGAATCTTTCTGGGGTCGAATTGGACACCAACTAGCCAGAACACCTCCTGCACATGCTGGTGCCAGTGATGGTAAGTCTGCTTTTCAAGCAATTTCAGTCACTTGGATGTGGGTTCCTAGCCAGCATCTCCCTTCATGCTGCACGCCTTCTGTAGGCAAATACAGCAATACTTACATGTCAGCATAATGGAGCAGTACAACCAAACACAAACACAAGTGCAAACACAAAACTTCTGAGCCATTTTTCAGAAGAGAAAGGGGATGGTGAAAGCTAACACAGGGATTAAAACAAAGGGATTGAAATGAATGCTGTTATGGTTTTTCTCTATGAGTCCCCACTTGCTTAGATATTCTAAGTTTTAATTTGCTTGGTAGGTTGGATTTTTCTGGGGGGTTGAATTTTGATGTGTGTGCCTCTCCCCTCCCCTCCCCTTCCCTCCCCTCCCCTCCCCTCCCGTTTTTTATCAAAAGGCTTTTTTCTTTTCTTTCTGTTATAAACCACTAATATTTCTGAAATAGCCTTTCCTTGCAACCATAACCCCTTCAGTTCTCTGCATTTCCTGACTTTCATAAACTTTACTTTCCCTGAACAGACTCTTTTGGACCTCAATTTGTGCCCAAAGGAGCTGCTGCACCTCCTGCTCCTTATGGTAAGTCTGCTTTTCAAACAATTACAGTCACTTGGGTCCCCAGCCAGCATCTCCCTTCACACTGCACAGCTTCTGTAGGCAAATACAGCAATCTTTAATTGTCAACATATACTGGAGCATTAAAACTAGTGCTTACAGAAATCTTCTGAGACATCGATCAGAAGAGAATGGTGGTGCTGAAAGCTAACACAGGAATTAAAATTACTAGTATAGTTTTTTTTCAGTTAGTCCCCATTTGCTTTCTGGGGGTTTTGTTTTGTTTGTTTGCTTGGTTAGTTGAATATTTTTGGTTTTGCAGAGCAGCAATAGTGGATGGGTGTTTAAGTTTTGAATTTTAATTTTTTTTTATTTTCATTCTTTTTCCCCAAAAGGTTTCTTGCTTTCATTATGTTATAAAGCATTAACTTTTTTTATTCATCTTTTCTTGCAAACATAACCATTGCAGTTCTGTGCATTTCCTGACATTTTAAAATTTACCTCCTCTGAAGTAAATTTACTTTCTCTGAACAGATATTTTTCGGGTTAGCGTTGCACCCAGAGCGCCCCGTACACCTGCTACTCCTGTTCCTGCTCCTGCTGGTAAGTCTGACTTTTAGGCAATTACTGTCCTAGCCAGCATCTCCCTTCATGCTGCACAGCTTCTGTAGGCAAATACAGTAACAATTAATTAAAAACTTAATGGAGCATTAAAATAGTGTACACAGAAATGTTGTGATACTCTTTAAAGGAGAGAAAGGGGAGGGTGAAAGCTAATATTATTTTTTTAGCAATAAAACAGGGATTTAAATTATTACTAGAATGTTTTTTCTATTGGTCCCTATTACCTTGTGGCTTATTTTGGTTTTAGTTTGGGTTTGGATTCTTGGTTGCTAGTACTTTATTGGTTTTCAGGAGTGGTTGAGGAGGGTGGTTGGGCATTTGGTTATGCTTTTTTTTTCTTTTCTATCTTCTTTTAATTCCTTCCTTTCTCCCTCCCTCCCTCCCTCCCTCCCTCCCTGCCTGCTTCCCTCCTTTCTGCCTGCCTGCCCTACCTTCATGTTTTTCCTTTCTTTCTGTTATAAACCATTAACATTTTGTAACAGCCTTTCCATTCAACCATAACCATTTCCAATCTGTGCTTTCCTTGGTTTTTAAATCTTACTTTTACTCAACAGATATTTTTCAGCCTTATGTTTCACCACAAGCAGCTGGTAGACCTCCAGCTCCTATTTCTGCTGCTGACGGTAAGTCTGTTTTTCAAGCAATTGTAGTCCCTTGGATGTGCGTTCCTAGGCAGCATCTCCATGCTGCATAGATTCTGTAGCCAAATACAACAACACTTAATTGTAGACATACAGAATCATTAAATCTAGTGCAAACAGAAATGTTTTGAGACATTTTTCAGAAGAAAAAGGGGTGGGGTAACTAAACGGCATTAAAATTTTTGTTAGGGAGACTGCAGAATAGGTTTGTTTCCTTGATTAAAAAAAACAGCTTTGGAATTAATATGATGAGAGGTAAAAGATGTCTGTAAGTAAGTACTTGTAGCACTTCAAATAAATGCTATGCCAACTTTTCTTAGGGAAGGATACTTGTGCTAATGTCCTTTGTCTATTAAAGATTTATGTATAATAATCAGGTGCAGTGTGTTTCAAATAAGCACTTAAAGGAGCAAACATTTAGAAGTACTTCACATACAACCCTTTGGTATGTATGTGAGGTATTTAACAGCAAACATAGAATCTCTCTTGATTTGTTTTTTATTCTTTTGTTTATTCCAGGACGCTGGAGAGTGCCTATCCACAGAGCCCATTCTGTATCTGGAGCCAATGTACCTGCTGCTGTGGAAGCACGCAGAACCTACAGTGCCTCCGACACCAATGTACCCTCCAGTGTGACACCAGGCAGATTCTACAGTGTGTCTGAAACCAACATACCCTCCAGTGTGATGCCAGGCAGAACAGGTTTTGGGTCATCAATGGACAGAGTCATCAACCCGAAACCAACCAGAATCAATACTGGGTCATCAGTGGATGCATCCTCGCGTATGAGAGGAAACAGAGCTCTTACCGTGCCTTCAAGCAACGTGTCCTCCATTATGACAGGGAATAGAGCTGGTACTGGGTCTTCAGTCAACAAATCCTTCAGTTTCAGACCACGCAGAGCCAGTTCTTTGCCTTCAGTCAGAACTTCCAGCCAGGATGTCTTACTCAGCACCAGAAAAAGTAATGAAATTTAATTACCAGATGTGACAGATTTCTTCATCAAAATACCGGCTTCTCTTCAGAAAGAAAATACTTCAGCAATGAAAAAAAATCTAAATAAATTACAATCTAAATAAAGTACGATCTTACCTACCTTTGTATTGTAGTTCAGTGTATATATTTTTTTATTTGTAATTTCATATTTTTATGAAAATGTGCATTCATATCTTCAAATTTCTGTGTTTCTAATTATTTCTATACCAAAGCACTTATTTATTTCACTCTTTTTAATTGCAGTCTTTAATTTTTATGTAATAAAAAAAATACACAAGCCATTTTAGTCTCTGTCTCTCAAAGTTGTTTCATACCTGTCTATTTTAAACCAGGACTACAATACTTTAATAGGATTGAGAGAGGTCCATCAAATGTACACCAGTGATTCCTCTTGTGGAATGTCATGGCCCTGTGTTGTGGTTTGAAAAGACAGGTGTCTGCTAAGGAAGGCAGAAGCTTCTCTTGAAATGGAAAATGCAAACTCCTTCTCTCTGAATTAGTATAATTTTGAAATAAAGGGGCTCTCAGGCAATAGGAATAGTAGTTCTTTATTAGGAAAATTAAAATACAAATGCAATAGTACAAAAAAATCTACTGACAGAGTCAGAACATGGCCTGACACTGTGTTGGTCGGGGAGTTGGTAGCTGATTACATGGTGACTGTAGTCTTGGTGTGACAGCTGTGGTTCTGTTGAAGCAGTGATCCTGTAAAAGGGTGTAGTCTTCCTCTGAAGGTCCAGTGGTGGTGTAGATGGGCCTGGTCTTCTTCTGGCAATCCAGTGGAAAAGAAAACTGCTCCTCTGGGAATCTAGTTGGAAAAGGCTGCTGTGGTGTTGCAAAGCTCTGATTATATCTAGGTAGGAATGCTTGGGGTATCGTGGCGAGAGGAGCTGACCACGATAGAACAAATGGTAGCAGAGGATGGTTCCCTTCTTCATCTTGCAGAAAAAATGGGCAAATTTGTGGGGACACCCACCTCACAGAAGAAGAAGGAGGGAAGAGGGACATCTGCGGCCGTGGAAGCTTTGCCGGATGCTAAGAGGAGTTGAGCGCCAAGCAAAAAGGAGGTTTAGGCTCCGGGACCCCCTTTGTCCTTTCCACTGTGCTCTCTACCCCTGCCTGGAGCAGCCATTCTACACTGGGGCACACACGCTACAGAGGCTTTAAGCGGGTAGACCTACCCCGGGACAAAGAGTGCAGTTTGGCAGCAGCTCGGGAATGAGCCTGAAGAGAGGCCGACCGAGAGGGAGGTGGCTTTCCCCTTTTTCTTTTGCTTTATCGGGACCTGCCGGCTACATGCTAAAACAGGCAGGCTTCCATTCTTTTTCCAAGAGGGAGGTAATGCTCCTCACTTTGTCTTTGACAGGGACCCATGCTTGAATCCCTTGGTCAAGGCACCTGCAGTGAGACCACCGGAGGCGGACAGTGGCCGAACCCAAGGCTTCGGGGACAAGCCTTGGTTAACAGGAACACCCAGGCCTCCGGAAGGGCCGAACCATGAAGGGACGTCCCTAGTTCGGTGCGACTTTTCCATCAAGTCAAGGAGAAGATTCAAGTCATCACCGCCTGCGCCCAGAGGGTAAGGTGGGCTAGACGGGGCAGGGACCGCCCCGACGGACGGCTGGGTTTGCCATTTTTCTTTTTGCGTTTTAACCCCCGCCCGCTCCCAGACTGGGGCTGTATCCCTGCATGTCCCTGGCAGGCGGGTGGGTTTTCCTTTTCTGGGGGGGGGCTAGCACTCTTTGCTGAGTGATACTCTTTGCCCAGTCTTCTGTGGGGACCCATATTGGATTGTTTTTTCTTCTCCTCGAAAATGTTGTCTTCTCTATCCTCCCCTCCCCATTCTGGGCTGGACGGAGGGGGTAGAAAAGACACAAGTGGGACAAACATCTAAAAGGTGACACGTTAACTATGGGAGAGTTGTTAAAAGAGGCCCTTTACACCCACGCATTGCACCGACATCCAGCTGCGTTGGGCCCCCCTCCTATAAATTTCCCCTTTTTGCTTCTGTGAAGCTCCCTATGCCCCCATCCCCTCGGACTTTCCTAAAACCCTTTCCTATCCTCCCTTGAGGATTGCTGTGGCCGAGCCGCCCCAAGTGCCCTGCTGGACACTGCTCAGGCCAAGTGCAGTGTATCTGGCACCCCCTCCCAAGATGGCGCTGGCCACGCCGCTCGGGACCCATTTCCCGCCTTGACCCTTCTTTTCCGCCCCTGGTTTTCCGCCAGTCCCATGTCTCCCTCAATGGCCCTGCACCGTCCCTGCACGAGGCTAGTCCCTATTGTGGGGAGGCGGGGTTGGATATTCCCCCATCCTTCTTCTGGCTCCTCCTCCGGGGGGAAGGATCGGGAGGGACCTTCTTCCAAGGAAATGGAGTCAAAACCTGGGACTGGGGATCCGTCATCTTGTTTTCCCCCTAACATGGTGGAATCCTGGTCCACCCCTTACCGATTCCCCTTATTATTCATGACAATCACTAATTAAGTGATTGTCTGATTCCCCGATCGTATTCCTTAATGTACCGTATGCAAGGTTCCCTTTTATTTTGCTACAAATTCTTTTTATTGCTTTTGATTATTTTTTGAATAATCTGTTTGTTGAGTTATATTTTATAGAAAGAAAGATCATCCCATTTAATTCATACACAAGGTATTATGCCTACCTCTCAAACAAATATTCAAATTGGACAAACCACGTCACTGTCTGCTGACCTGACTCTGCTTTAGGAATTTTAAGAAGCTGAACATCACAAGCGCCGTGACAAATCAAGTTCTAAATCAGATGAAGTCACAAATCCTGCTGTGTTTTGTACCCTTAATCTGGAGTTTCATTTAGGACAATTTTATATATTCCAGATCAAGTTTTTATGTGCTACATGTGTTGTAAACATAATTAGTTTATCCTTTTTTGATGTCTTTCAAGTTATGTCCTTTTAATAATGTGTAATGTTACAATTTGACTAAATATTAAGTTGTTTTGTTGTAATTATGATTAAGTTATTCTTTTCTGGTGTTTTTCAACTTAAAGATTTTTCCCTTTTCCTCCTGTTTTGGGAAATCAGAATTTAGTTTTTTGCTGATCTCTGTTGTATTTCCGACCATCATTTGCTATGTGAACCATGTGGCTGCTGCATCTTTTCAGGCTTGCTGCATTGCTGTGAGGTTTGAAACTTATTTTTGACCAATCAAGGTTCAAATTGCTATAATCATGATTAGAATCTTGTGGTCAGTTGTAGTAATTTCTTTATTCTTCTTGTTTCTATAGATTGTTTGTTTTATTAGATTATTTCATTGCTTTTGTTCATTGTACTAATTCCAATTACTAGTTATATTTAGTTTGATCTTTTATTGTAATCTATTCAGATTGTTTTATTTGGTTGTTTCTGTTAGAATCAGTTAGTATTTTAAGAGTATAGTTTTATTTTGATTTCATATTTAAATTGTTTTCAGTTTATCAATCATTTTATTCAATTGTTTTATTAGACAAAATTTGTCTAATTTAATTATTTAATTCAAAGAATTCCATTTAATTATTTTATTTAAATTTGATAGTTGTGATTTTAATTATTCTAATTCAATTATTTAGTTTCTGTTAATTATTTCATTCTTTTTCAATCACCTGATTTTTAATTATTCTTAGTTAATTTGAACTAGATTTAAGTTGCTATTTCAATTCTATTTGTTTTATTTGTTACTCAAATTTCCTTATTTCAATTATTTTAATTTATTGCTTATCTTTATTGTCATTATATTATCATTATATCATTATATTATCATTAATTCAAAAGTTTTCCTTTTGTTTGTTTTCAATCACTTGATCATTCCACCGGGTATTATTTACATTATTTTAGATTGTCACTCAGAGCAGCAAAGCAGCAAGTTTTTGTGCAGTTTTGTGTTTGCTTTGGGAGCAGTATAGCCAGCTAGTAGTTTAAAGGTCTGCTGTTGTTCCTGGCACTGTTGCTGCTCGCCTCCAGCCCACTGCTGCCGGCTGGCCCAGCTGAGCCTGGGACATGCCGGAGCACTGCCCAGTCCCCTGCCTGCTACTGACCTGGGTTGGACTACCCTGTCTTCCATCTAGAGCTCTATCTTGCCCTCCAGTGCTAGTGGCCGCTTTAAGGTCACTGCCTGCTTTCATAATGTCATCTTATTTGCAGTGGTGTTCTTGCAAGCTGACATGATTGGGGAGTTCAGAGTTGAGCTGTAGCAGAAATAGAACTTGCATCTGTGTGCAGCAGGTCAGCTTGAGGTATCTGAGGCATTTGAAAAAATAAGGCTGTTACTGCCCTTCTAGCCCTGTTAGTGTAATTATGTGTTTTCATGTCCTTTTAGTAATTTGCAATGTTATCATATCCTGTTGTATTTTGTCAATGAAGTTTATATTATTTACATGCTATATTAATTTGCTTAAACACTAGAACTCTCCTTCTTTTATGTAAGTGATTAGTGAAATAAAAGGGCCAGGAGACCTGCTCCTTTTTAAGGCCTTTATTGAGTGACCAGCTCTGGGTTGGGGGCCCGAGGGGTCGCGCACACCGCCGCTGCTCCCACGTGGCGACGCTAAGGAGGAGGAGATCGGCTCCGCTAGGCAGCAGAACCGGGGCTTCCGTCCTCGCGGGCGTGCCCAGGAAGGCGATTTTCGGCTCGTTGTCTGGGGCCCTGATTCTGCAGTCGCACTGTTTATGTTAGGGCGGCATGTTGGCGGCTACTCTGCGGGTCTGGCGCTGTCTGGGGACCTTTTGCCGATTGTCCGATCCGGTCTGCGGCCCCGAATTTGGCGTGGCTCGTTGTCCTTGGGGCTCTTTTCAGGATTTTGCATTCGGTTCGCGATTTGCATATTACCAGAGACAGCGCAGCCGCCGTTTTGGGGAGCAGCGGCGGTAAAAACCCGGCGGTCACATAGTGAAGGGCAAGTGGGGCAAGGGGGAAACATAACAAGGGTGCACATAAAGGGGATTTTAACGGGGTTTGAACAGTTAACA